TTATATAAATCTAAATATACCATTGTAGATCCTCAACCATTGAATTGAAGGAAAAGATTTAAAATCTTCTTGCATATCATCTTAGCTTGATTACTCTACTTTATTTAACATTATTTTCTATTGATGCAAAAATAAAAGCCTATAGTAATACACATGATCACACACTTAAACATGGGGAGAGAGAGAGAGAGAGAGAGAGAGAGAGAGAGAGAGAGAGCAAAACTTACAACACTAGCAAGGGTATCTTTATTGTTGCACCTAACCCCCAAAAGTAGCACAACACCGCCTTAAAAATTTCAGCTTTTTCTTGCTTTTGCAGAGTGTCGGCCATTTCTGACGTTTTCACTGGAGAAGGTTCTCCCAGAGCTCCATTGAACTCTCGTGTATGTGACGGTGTACTAAGTAACGTTAGCCACTTCATAAATAAATTTCGTATAGCCATTGACCTATTTGTAGTGTCATCCGATGCTGTATAAGGAGCAGGTACAATATCTTGTACCTTTGAAGATTCCACAGAGGACTCTTCACTCTCATGTTGCAAATAAGAAACTTTGACGTGATTATATAATGCTTTCGAGCCATTAGCTCTGCCACCAGATTCATCACGTTGATTGCTGCCTTTGAAAGCGGTTATTTTAAATAATTTTGACTTTTGTCCATGAGCAAGAGAAGTTCCTACACTGCAAGCAAAGCTATCTATTAGCTTCAAAACAAGCAGCGTTTTAGATGATGAAAATTTGAGCTACCATTCATGGTATAGTGAACATAATAAAAAGGTAAATTTCAAAAGTCATTGTGTAAAATGTAAAACTACTGAACGTCTATGAAGATATCTTAGGCTATGTTTGGTAAAACTAGCCGATAAGCTAGATTATAGCTTATAAGTGATTTTCGAGCTTATAGCTTATGACTTGAAGCTGAAAAGCAAGCTTATATGATAGATGTGTTTGGTAAAATTAACCGATAAGCTAGCTGAAATAAAAAAATTCAACGAGCTTATTTGAAAAGCTATGAGATAAGTTCGAGCTTTTTAAAAAAGTTTGTCCTACCAATTTGAATACAGAAGTTTATAAGCTAACCGAATAAACTATAAGCTAACTTATTTGGTTACCAAACATAGCCTTAATGTACAGTTAAGGCAGCATATATTTTCTTGCCAAAAACAAAGATGTTCAGAAATCAAACTATTTTACAGAAATCCCAACAAATACACAATCGATACAAAAACAGTCTTCTTAGAAATACTCTTACAGGAAAAGAAATATCCAAACAATCTCCTGCAATTCGACTCCACGAATATACTAATTTGGATACAAGGGTTTTATAATGTTTATTGACACTAAACTGCTAGTACAGTTAAAAGCTCTAACCTCAAACAAGGTCTGCGTCTCAAAGAGATTAATCTATCTTTTCTCCCAACTGTAAGAAATGCAGGCAAACATTGATTAACCTTACTCTCTCTGCTCCGTGATGAAGGGACAGAGGGAAAAATGCTACAAGAACCCTGGACAAAGCCAGCAAGAAAATTTTATCAATGTTTAGATTGGTGGAATACATACAAAGAATGGTGTTTTTGAAATGATAATGGAAAAAAATAAGTCAACCAAGAAAAGTGATGTACATGGAAAAGAAACAGAGATACTACATTCTCAACATGATTCCTGTTTCATTGAGATCATTACAATCTGTTTCAGAATACATCTAAGATACTCAGAAAAAGCTAACAAAAAAAAATCAACATGGGAGAAACAAGAAATAAAAATCACATACTGAAAAGTAGGTTAAGGTAGTTCCCACTCAAGGAAATTGAACTAATCTTCATTAAAGATGTTTTTTTCCCAAATAGCACAGTTGGTAGGTACAACAAAAATGAAAAATTAAGAAAGCACACTCTGAACACTGAAAATGAGTGAGTAAAGGTCAGTGGAAAATATTATAACCTCGAAAGCATGTGAAAAATGTTGTTCCAAGCAGTGTTTCAGTTTTGTTAGGTCAAAAGTAAATATAAATTACCTTAAACCTAAAACACAACAAGCTTTTTGCCACCCAACATCAAGAAATCAGTTAATCAGATATCAAGTTATCAACCCAGTTTCATGACTTATCAACACACCCACCAAAACTGTAATTTTTTTATTACCATCAAATATTGTATGATACAACCATTTGAATGCCACGTCTTTAGCATTCATTAACAAAAATATAGACAATCATTATTACCTTTAACTGATGTGTCGAAACTAATGCCATCATCTATACGAAAAGTAAACCAAGATTTGCCGCAAGACTCATACTTGTGTCATGATCAACCGAACCTGAAAAAAGTCGATTACTTTCCCATCAGGTCATCGTTAATTATTCAATTCATGCATCCAAACATAAAGGCACAGGGCTTATCTGTGAAAATCAGGGAAGCTTACCTTCCCCAGTGAAATACTAAACAACGAATGTGAACTGGGGATACCGACCAAGAGCCCACTGCACATGATATGACAAATTAAGCAAAATTAAATCACTTTATAAAATTTCCAAATTATATTAACAAACAATAACAACAACATCCATGTCCAAATATTGCATAAAAACAGACAAGGGAAGCTCACAAACATCGGTAAACAAGCGCAGAAAACGCAAATATTCGTGAAGTCATACAATTTGACGCTTAATCAACACACGGGCACACACAAGGCATGCAATACATATTGAAAAATAGCGAGATGAACGAGCTTACGATGAAAATCTGGACCTTTGCAGAACTGGGCAGTAGGGAATCGGAAGGGGAACCGGAAAGTTCTAAGTTTGTAGATAGAATTTGATGAATTTGATGAGAGATGGGGAATTTGGATAGAGGAAGGAAAGGGGAAGGAGGTCAAAATTGTGAAATTAGGGCATTTGAGGGACCTTTCTAATTTCCAGTTTCGAGTTGTTTCTAGATTTTTTTTCTTTTTTTATTCTGAAATTTACCGTACTTCTCGGTTGGCTTTGTCGTTAGACGGACATCTCTCGTTGCAAACATACATTCATCACCACTGCCATGTGCTACCCGGGTCGACCAACGGATTAGTCGGAGCATAGCTTCGGATACCGTGGCTAGCTACCAAAAAAACATACTTTAAAAAAGACAATATAAATAGAAATATAAAATTTAATAGTATATGTATATATTTTCATTCAAACTGTACGACGAGTCGATCTGTCTAATGGTTAGATTGTCCCACCTAATAACAATTTGTGCGTAAATTATTAGTAAGTCGTGGCAATTTGGCCGGCCCAAAGCCTTTGCGCAGAATAGATTTGTCTTGTTTCTAAAATAGGTCGAACTCGATCTGACTTATCAATTTTGGATAATGGCATTTTTTGCCCTGATTTGACCCGACCCGAACCGTCACGACCCACTCACATGCAAGATCCATTAGGATGAAACAGTCCAAAGCATAGAATAGGGAAACGTTGGTATTTGTTTTGCATAATTTATAAGGTTAATGTTAGAGTTCTGACATATTCCTTTAGCATTGTCAATGTCAAAGCGGGTTATGCTCGTTTGAGACTAAGCCGTGGAGATAGGAGTGACCAAAATCGAGTCGAAATAAAAAAACCGAGCCGAACTGTGCAATTTTGAGCAGTTCTATCCAATTTTTTTAATGTGAAAAATTTTCGGTTCGATTTCGATTCAATTTTTTTCTATATTGCGGTGCAGTGTGGTTATAATTTTTATATAAATTTAATTTTCGGTTCAGTGCGGTTATGCACTGAACTGCACCAATTTGAATATAATGCATAGAAAAATCGTGATAAAATAAAAAATCGAGTTGAACCGTGCATTGCAGTGATTGCAGCTCGAAACGTAGATCTGTTGCCTCTGTGATTGTACTAAAATATGAGTTTCAACTGTTATGATCATTCTTCTCCGTTCTTCTATTGGATCAAAGTATTTATTCAATAGAAGGTTTGTTGTCCATTCTACCCGAATTTAATAAAGAAAATTGTTCTCGTGCATAGTAAAAAAATTTGGTTTCGATTTCAGTTCGTT